TGGAGGTACTTTGCGTTACAATTGTAGTTGGGAAAGGTGATGTAGAGGAAACAGTGACTTCTTTTTTTCCTGGAGATCATCTTCTATGATCAAATTATCTATTGATCCAAAAGTCTTAGCAATGAAAAGCTACTTGGGGATTTTTCTCTCTCTGACGCTTTGTTGTTCTTTAGCCAGTCACAGATCTACACAGAATCACACATTCTGTTTATCTGGCACTGCTGTTAAGTTTTTCATGTACCCACAATTCCCTGAAAGTGTTACTCAATTTGTAGAATCCTGTTCCACAGCTGTGTTTGAATGCAAGCTTTGATATGTAGCCACTGAGAAATACATTCAGTGACATCCTCCACTGACACATCCACAGATCCTCTGCTTTCTCTCTTACCTTGACATCAAATTCCTTCCAAAGCAATGACCATATGAGTTTTCTTACATTATCTTCTTCACACTGGTCCAGTAGTTTTCTGGGACTCCCAGCCCTCCCAATCCTTCAAATTCCTCAGATCCTGTCTTTTTTTTCTTCTATTATAATTGTCTGTACTTCTACATCCTATTGAACAGGTTACTGAAGTCTCTTTTTCCCTTCCCAAATTATGGGAAACATCTCAAGTTGTTCCCCATGGAAAGCTCAAAGCTGCCCTCAGGATAGAGAAGATGGAGAAAATCAATCTGCAGCAGTTTGGCTGCCTCTTTTTCAAACCCATCAATACTCATTAATTGCTTCATATCACACTCATCCCTCTGACTTCATGGGATTGTTCCACATGTGCAGGACCAGCTGAGTGAGCTCTGCCAGCCACAGTCAGAGCAAATTTGTTCCTTCCCTATTCACCACTCATTCACCCCCACAGGACAGAAGAAAAATGGTACTTGTGCACCAGTAAGATGGGAGGGGAGAACTATATTGACCCAAACTTCCCCCAAGAGAAGAGCTGCACCTAATTATTCAATACAGCATGCACTTGCCCACTGTGTACGCCTGCTACACATAACTGCAAAGCTTCAAACACAGATCTCTTGGCTTGTTCATTTTCCACAATGTCTAACTTGGTATATGAATGGAACCTACAAGGATGCCAGAGAGGGACTCTCCATCAGGGAAAATAGCGATAGGACAAGGGGCAATGGGTTTATACTGAAACAGGGGAAGTTTAAGTTAGATATAAGGAGGAAGTTCTTTACTGTAAGGGTGGTGAGGCACTGGAATGGGTTGCCCAAGGAAGCTGTGAATGCTCCATCCCTGGTGGTGTTCAAGGCCAGGTTGGACAGAGCCTTGGGTGACATGGTTTAGTGTGAGGTGTCCCTGCCCATGGCAGGGGGGTTGGAACTTGATGATCTTAAAGTCCTTTCCAACCCAAACCATTCTATGATTCTACGATAATTTTGCTTTGCCATCCAGAAGGGAGCAGACTAATTAGTGAAAGCATGGATTTTCAGATTTCAAAGATGTTCTTGGGTTTAAATAAATATTAGTCTCTACATTTCTAAATCGAGCAGAAGCTTTGAAATGGAGCAGTTCTGCTGCCAGCCTGAGTATTTTAAGGCTTTCAGGAGTCAAAAGTGTTTAAGCAATCTCTAATTTTAAACCATAGTCACAAAAAATATTTATTGAAGTACTGTTTCAGAATTAATCTTATGAAATTCACAGACTTGGCGATAAAATATATTTTTCACAGTTTTCATGTTGTTGTCTTGGTTCTATTTCGATCCTTCTGGTAGCCTTTCCAGGTAGCAAGTAGACAACAGAAACTGATAAGTCAGAAATTGCAATCGCTGCTCAAATGAGGAAAGCTTTAGTAGAAGTCTGAATTTGATCAGGAAGAATTTTTTTCTTTGGACTACAGCAGCAGTATGCATTATTAGCAGTAAAATGCCAGCCATGTTTTCAAAAAGTCGCAGGCTAGGTTGCAATATGTGAAAAGAAGATGTCTCTGTCAAACATGCTTAGGCCCAAAATTGAACAGAGATTAAAGGTAAAACCCATGACTCCAGTGGTGGGAAATTCAAACACTCCTAGCGGTACAGTCTTTACAAAAGGTATATAGAAATTATCTATAAGCTCAGCTTTCATTAGTATATCTGCAACATCATTCACTAAACCTCAACTATCCAATCCAGGTAGGGTAAAGTAATGGGTAAGTCTTGTGCAAAAAGTAAATTACGTGTTTCCAGTAATACTTGTTTTATAAAAGAGAAGGCAGAGTAGAGAGAAAGTTCTAACAAAATCCATGATAATAAGCAAACGATTCTGTTTTGTCCCTGAATTTCTTTTTGGAAATGAGCCATGAGGGTGTCTTTTCTTCTAAAAGAGCCAGGTGAGGTTAGATTTCTATCCACATTACCCCAGGAAAGGGCCTTATTCTCAAGAGATTGACAAGTAATTGCTCCAGTAGAGGAAAACTATAAATCTCTCACCCTAGTTTCTCCTCCTCCCCTAGAGCAACCCAGCCTCTAGAGCTGAAATCTTGTCAATCTCAGAGGCCTTAGTGTTCTTGTTCTCAAGTGTGATCTCCAGTGAGGTGACAAAGCCCTATAAGACCCACCTCTATGCTTAGTTTTCTCCTAGACAGATTGTGCCTAATGTATCAACCTCTGGAGCACTGACGTATTGCCATGTCTTTCTATGTGCCTATTTTTGGAGTTCAGGTCTGAATGTGGGCCTTTGTGCCTCAGCTATCATTTTGCTGATGAGATAAGAATATTTTTATTCTGTGCCTCACTTATTTAAATGTCAACCCTTTCATTCAGAAGAATCCCTCACCATGTGCATAAATCTGATAAAGCATCAAGGGAAATGGAAAAGTGGGAGCTCTAAGCACAGTAAAAATGAGAGTAAAACTATACGTCCTGTGTACAAATGCATTCTTAATTGCTATTGTTAGAGTACAATGTTCTGTGAACTTTATTGCTATAGACTAGCTATCATAAAAATCTCTTGACTTTTTAAATGGTGTGGCTAGGAAGAAGATTTCTGCCACTGAGAATGGAGACAATTTTGAATACAGAACAGAATGGTATAAGATGAATATTCAGAAACTCATGAAGTCAACTTTCTGTACACACAGATCAAGTCATAAAAAAATGACTAGGCATCCTAGTCATAACTGCACTATTTGTAATGGGATATTAAGCTTTAGTTATGTTATTGTCTTAGGCTACATAAGCCACAAGGAAAGGAGAGAATAAATAAAGTTCTTGCAGATTGCTTAATTGTAGAAAACAGGAGGCTGTACTACTTACAATTTTGCTTTGCAAGGAAATTCCATGGTTGAAAGGTGGTGAGATGGGCTGGGGGGGAGGGGGAACAAGGCCACAGCTAGCATTAATCAGTATGGGAATCACTGGGGTAAAATCGCAGCCTTAGTAAGCTCACAGACCTCTACTGAAGTGAGTAGGTCACAGTGTGAACAGCTCTAACTGCACTGAAATAAACTGCTTGTCACTACCTGGGGATTTGGATCCTGTCGTTAGAACCATGAAGGATATATATAGGTCATGGACTTGTTCACAGGGCTAAAACTTGCCAAGTTTGTGCTGCTAAGGGCTATCTACTTCCCAGCACATGAGCTTGAGGAGGTAAGATGGATATATGACCTTACAGTGATGATTCAGAAGCTGACTTTTGCCAAAGTCAAGGGCAGTGCTAGCAGTAACATCCACCTTGAGTGTACCGTTTAACAGAAAAGGAGCTGTAAAAAGGAGCATGGCCATTCTAAGCATCATAGTTATGTTTCCTAGCTCATAGTGACCTACTGGAGAGAAGAACCGGTAATATCATTTGCAAACTGCTTAAAGACCTGACACTCACAATCTCCACCTGTACAGACACAGCTAAGGAAGGGCAGCGGGCTTGTTGTACCCCCATGTGCGCAGGGTGGGACCTGTGGGCTGTCTGAGGGAAGAATCTAATCATTTGTCCTACAGCTATGATGCCAGTTAGCAGAAACTCACTTGCAAGGAACTAAAGGAATCACAAACAATTAATGGTTTGTTTTCCATTTCTATGTATGGCTTTAATGGCTTACAGAACCTGAAGTTCTGTCTTATTCATGTTTCTCACTGCAGAAATTGGGAATCTGATTACCCAATACACAGATGTGGGCTGTGTGTTACTCCAACTAATACAGTACGTGCAAACTGCAGCAAAACCTAGGTGAGACTAGTAGTGAGACTACTTTCCGCTCCATCCCTTATGCCTGTTGCAGAATGTTGGAAAGGTTTCTTTGTCTCCCATGTCCTTTCAAACTCTTCAGCTGTTGGGCTGTGAAAGAATTGAATCTTTCATTTCCTTCTTGCACAGATGAGCCTGTAAGGTTAGAGTTCCCCACAACCTTATTTGAGCGGAACATGTTGCCTCTCTCCCACCAGCCTGACCTTCCAACACCTGCTTAACAGTAAAATAACTGAAGTCAAACTGAGAGCAGAACTAAAACAGGCAGGCATGGCTGCCCATAGCAAATGATATTGTTTTACACAGAGATTCAAAATTCCCGTGACTCCTAAGCCTGGCTGGGCATCTTCTGCCTGGAATCCTTGACCTCACCACTCTCTCAAAACTGTTCTTCAGGTGATCAAAGAGTAAGACATTCCCATTCAATAATTTTCCTGCATTAGTAACAGGGTTACCAGAAATACATTTTTTGTTTTTAATGTATTTCCACTTCAAAGCTGAGGAGCCTTGCACCACATTAGTGCATTTGGCTACAGGTCCTGCACAGGCATATAAACCCTAGATATGCTAAAATTGGTTTTAATGTATTCATTTTTTTTCCCCTCCAGCAATATTGTTATGTCCACCTTCTAATATTTAATTGGATGTCAGAGTTAGCACACTGATAACTTGGCTCACTGTCCATTTAATTCTGGTTTGACTACTGATAAAGTAATTGCACCATTTGACACACGGAAGGGCAGGCAGAGGAAACTGGAGTAATTTGATGCTAAAACACACTATGCATTAAGACGTATCATGTTGATTGCTACAAATACATACTTACTGTGGTCCAACCAACCTGCTGACCCAGGTCTGTAAAATACAGTGTAATGATGGAGGAAACAGCAAGGCTTTGAATGCTAATAGAATCCTTCAAATAGGGCCCATCTGTAATGACGAAAAGGAAAAAGAAGATGGAAGGAGCAACAGGCATTCTTTCAGACGCTGAACATAACACATAGGCTGCCTTGTAATGGTCAAGGTGTAGGCCCAGCTTGTATTCTGGTTTATTTTGGTGACTTGGTACTTATTCTCCAGGTTAGCAATCTGTAACATTTCTGTTGGAGTTATTCTGCTCTCATTTTAACAAAAACATTAGGCTGACATGATGTTGGGCAGCAATGCATAGCAGTTGTTATGGTGCTATCTCTATTAATCTAGACCATTAGAAACATGCCATGGAATCACACAGACAATTTCTTAGAGCACTTTTTGTTCTGTCTTGCAAGACTAATGGGAAAGTCAGTGGTATGCAGTGTCTCTCTCACTCGTATCTTTTCCTGAAGCATTTACATTCTCAAGCTATTTTACGATAGGTGGCACCATCATGATGAGTACAATTTCTTGGGCAAAGGCCCACAATCCACGATACCTTTTGTAAGCAGCCTGACCTCAGCAGATCAGATGTATAAATCTGAGCATTACATTGCTTTTCACAGTATTCTCAGGTATCTGCTTCCAGTTCTGATGGATCCAGAATGTGCACAGAGACATAAAATGGCAAATTTTTTAATAGAACCAGTAAGTTGGATATTGGGAAACCCCAACAGCCACTTTATGCATTGTGTCTCCCTTTCAACATATGTTTAATGGCTGTTTAAGTCAGTGAGGGTGCTAACTTCCACCAGGTGCTGAGTCGCCATTTTCTACAGCTCTGCAATGCTGCATCCACAGAACAAATGTCACACAGCCCATAGCAGCTTCATCTCCCACTGTCATGTCCACCAAGAACTGGTGTACTGACAACGCCAATTGCATCTTCTGATGAGGCTGTGAGGAAGTATTGAAAGTGATAATGCAGTGAGTGAGGGAAGTGAGTAAATGGTTTTCAAACTGCCTTGTCTTCATTATTTGATCGTATACTGTATCCTGAAGCATTTTAACTCAGTGGTTATGAAAACCATTAAATTCCATTATTAATGAGAAAATAAGTTAATCATTGATATCAATTAATGAAAAAGTGCCAGCAGTTCACCTAATAACACATATAGAGAAAGCAATATTGTTAAGAGGAGAACTTGCCAGAGGATTAGTAATGCATTAGGTAGCTGTATTCAACCATATGAATACTTACTGCGTTCTAGTTGCAGGCCAACACGGGAAGGGTACCACTGGGGACCTGTTAAAATCACAAAGCATGGCGGTTAATTTCATGGTAGGGGATCTAAATTTCTCTTTCTATTAGTATTCTTTTCAGGTGATTGCTACAAATGTAAGGTTAAAACAAATCCTCTCTTTCAGTCTCAGCTATACAAGGAGAATACAAGAGAGCTAGGAGAAGCGCACAATACACATACAGAACCAGAAATCTTCTCTCCCCACAGGAGTTTTGGAAGGGCCAATCTCTATGCTGAATGCTCCGTTAGCACACACACACAAATGGGTGTGAGTGCGCACCACTGGGAAGTATAAAGAGGACCCTATTTATTAGTGTATTTGCCAAAACTCCCTAATAAATGCATCAGTTGCACTATCACCACCCCCAGCCATTTCTACTGCATTTTCTTTATTTCCTTTGATACACCTTAGGACAGTCAATAGCCTGCAAAAGATTTGCTTTGTCTTTTCAATTCAAAGCCCAGGTGAAACTGGTCAAATACAGCCACAGTTTTCTTTAGACCTGCTTTACAATTGTTACTATTCCTGTATATCAGTATTCCTGTACCTTAAACAAATGGAAAAAAATTCTTCACAATGACTGTGATCAGACATGGGAACATTTGCCCAAGAAGCTGTGGGATCTGCTTCCCTGGAAATAGGCTTCAGCTGGAGAAGACCTTGTGCAATCTTACAGGTCTTGAAAGTTGGCCCTGCTCTGACCAGGAACCTGGACCAGATGAACTCCAGATGTTGCTTCTACCTTAACTGTATTTTGGATGATGAGGAGAGATTGTTGACCCCACCAGCTGCCAGCTGGAGGGGAAAGGGAGCTTACAGGAGTAGGGAGGAAAGGGAGTTAGGAGGAAAGGGAGTATACAATGTGCACTGTACCACTGTGCAGTGTCACTCAGCACACGCTCATTTCAGAATCATTTGGTCTGAGTTTTGTAGGTAGGCAGGAACAGGCATTAGATGAACCCATGAACCAGGGCTAATGGCAAGAGGCAAGATATCCATCAAGTAAGTCACAAACATTATTTTTTCAAGATATTACAACAATCCATGGCTATTAAAGATAACAAAAGGAAGATAGAGAAAGAGCAGCTGTCTGACTTGTCAAGGAAGATATGATTTGCTCCAGGACAGCAGATATCAATAGTTATTTGGGAGCCTGAAATGCAATGTACTTGCGTTAAATTGGAATCTTCTCCTCAGCTCTCCCCTCCCCATATTACAGTATGTTTCAATAAAAGCCAATTTACCTGATCCTGTGGCAATGTGCTTTTAGGTATGGCTCATAATCTTCACAAGGGCAAACAGAGGTTGTGCGATTCAGCACGTCATCACACATTTCCAGTCCTACAGCCTCAGTACACCAATATGTTCAAGCATACTCAAAGATTCAGACAGATGGAACTGTGCCTTTGCCGCTGCTTTTCTGCAGTGACCTTATTATCACACCACTGTGTCTCTCTGGTTTCCAGACTGTCCTTTGTGTGTTGCATGTATTTTGCTGGAGGGACCTGAAATTAGCTGTTTGGATATTCCTTCCCAGCTTTTACTATTGGTGGGGGGCCACTAGCTAACATCAAGTGGAAATGATATGCAAATGGAGTAGGGGACAAAGTCCAAACACATCTCTTTTTGTACATATCATAGGTTTAGTCTGAACATGAAAGTTTCCCACTTTCAGTCTTTATGGCAGCAGACTTTAGCAAGGCTCTTCCTAAGCCTTAACTGTCTGGGTTTCTACAAAAACCAATGTTGCTTTCTGGACAGAAGTGTGACCACACTTTACTTCTCGAATCTCAGAGACTCATCAGCCTGATGAGACTCATTTCATAGAGAGGAAACCCCACACATTCCTAAACATCAAAGATTTGCCTGCTCACCACTTGATTTCAGTCAGCCAAGGGGACTGTGGGCTCACCTGTCAGCATTTTTCTGCCTTCTTCCTGTGACTGTTTCCCATGGGGATCCTCCAGAGCTTTCACTAGGACAGCTCTGGATTTCTGTTTGGCAATGTGGGAAGCCATTCTGATCCAGCCTGGCTCTGTCAAACACACATTCATGTTATTCCTATAGAAAAAGAGCTCTCCTTCCTTTTACTAGTGAAAAGAAGCCAAGCAACTAATTATCACCTGTATTAATTCTTGCTACTGTCTGTCAAAATAAGGGGTTGATGGCTCTCTTGGATACCTAGAGGCATCATTTGGCAGATTAGTTTAACCTGCCATCAGCAGGAGTATAGAAGTGCATGTGGAGAGTGCATGCTCTCACTACAGATAGAGACACAGATGCAGTTGCATGCAGCACTCCAAAGCTCCTCTGCACTCCCACACCTGGCAAAGCTCCCCTCATTTCCAGTCTGGAAGGTTTCTCTGGAGGGTTTCTCTTTTGCAGATGTTTTTTTTTTTTTTAGTATGGTTTACTTTCCAGTTTATTCTTATTAACACTTTCCATTGGTGCCTCCTGCAGAGATTAATGTCAGTCCAAGAGCATGGCTGAGTTTATCTTGTTGTATCTAAGATCAGACATGTATTATTAGTTACTGACATTGTGATAGTGCATCAGAGCTCAGTCACATGGTGTTGAGTAGATCACATCCCTGTATAGTCCTTGTGATCAGCAGAGCTGTTCAGTTCCCTTAAGCAGGGCTATAGTTTTGGCTATGTATTTCACACTTGGAAGAAGTTGCAAAAATAACATTTCAGCCCATTTATATCACCGACCAGTTTTCACTTGAAAAAGCAGATACAGACTTGACCATAAAACAATGGTTCAAACTTCATGGCTTAGACAACAGCTCTATTTAGCCAATATTATATTCTCTGATGTTTAGACAATATTGTGGGTCCTCTCTCGCATTTCTTAGATTTCTGAGTTTGTGTAGAACAGCTTCAGTTCCTTTCTTTGCTGTGCGTTTGGACAGCTATTGAAATGCCATCCTGGTTTTCCGTCTCCTATTTGATTATTTCTACCTTCCTGACTTATCCTTCTCCTGATGTTTGTCTTGGTCTTTTAATACGGTCACCCCTCAACTTCATGCATTTAGGCACCTGAAAGCTTTGCCCATTCCTCACAAACTCCTTGATTTTCAACTTGAAAATCCACAAACTCCTTAACATCAACATCATTCTTCTTCACTTAGCAGCCTGATCTAGTGAAAGATGTCCCTGCCCGTGGCAGGAGGGGCAGACTAGATGATCTTTGAACATTCATTCCAAATCAAACTGTTCTACAATTCTATGATTCGTACTGTTATGGTTCAGATAATGTTTATTCCATGTATACAGGCTTCATTTAGTCCAGTAGTGTAAGCAATTCATGATAAGTCTTAAACCTTTTACCTTATTTCATCTTCTCTGTCAGAAATCTCTTCCAAGTTTGCGGAAAAACTCCATGCTTTTACTTAAAAACTGTTAAAACATTTTAATACTAATCCCTTTAAAGCATCATCATTTTTTCAACATAGAAGAGTATTTTCTTGGAAAATAACTCAATGTTCACTTTTAATAATTTCTTTTAAAAAATGGACATAAGGAAAAATATTTAATTTTGGATGGGTCATTTTTTGTACTTGTGACTACTTAAAACAAAAATTAAAACATAAGCAAACTGACAGGATATATTAAAACTGATAGCCGCCTTTAATTTGACCATACACAAGTATGAAATCACCTGTCAATACTGGATATAAAAAAGAGATGCAGTGCTATTAAATAACCATACAAATGCTTGCTACAACGACAGTATCAGTACCATGCCCAGCTGCCAACACCGCTATAGAAAGATACACAGAAAACCAAGTTCTACTGGTCCCACCGCTCACACAGTTTGTTTTTTCACTGCATTTATACTAGAATTTCAGTAAATGAATAGGATGTCAATCACAGGACCTGAGGACAGTTTTAAAAGCCCATATGCAGTTTTAAAAGTGTCCAAAGGGACTTTTATCCACATGAAATTCAAACTGAGCTTCATGTGTGTTCCACTACTTAAATATCACAAGAGGTTTTGAAAATTTAACAACTAAGGAATCTAAGTACGAGATATTTTCCAATGGTTATGAAATTGAAGGGGTCAGTCTAATTTTTGTCAAGATTCAGAAAGAGCCTTTGATAAAAATTCTTTAGTGCGTTGCCTGTTCTGTGGTAAATTACACAAATGCACATTTGTCAGAAAGTATTTATGATGTTCCATGAACCTGTATGACAGCAAAGGTATAACATGATGAAGACCTCTCCTACTGGGTAATTCAGTGTGTTCCTTAGAACGTGGCTATTCTTCTGGGGAGTAAGGAGTGTAAGAAATGCAAAACAGAGTTGAGAGACACAATTTGGAGATAATTAGCAGACTGACTTTCCATGATCATCTAATTTTGTTATCAGTTAAGTTGTTTGCTTCTCATTGTATTTCAGCACCCATGCATCTGCAATGACAAACAGCCTTAAATAATTACAAGTAAAACTCACTGTGATATGAATAGGATGATATGAACAACAAAATAACTATAATCAAACAGCAGCAGCGAGTTTAAATTTGTTTTCAAGTTTAAATTTTAAACTTTTCTTATTTTTTAGTTTTTAGTTTTAAAGTTTAGATTTGCAGAAATATGGACAATTCTGGGGACCACTGCAGTACCAATATCCCTTATATGATCACAAAGTGTTACACATTAGCTGAGAAACATAACCGCATTTGGTTGTGTGAACTGAGCATGGCTGAAATGCATTCCCTCACTTTAATCAGATGCTAATTTTTACATCTGTGTAGCAATAAGAAGAGGTTGTTAGGAAAGATTCACGTACCAGTATATGTGGGGATGGTGTCTTTAGACAGGAAAGCTTCTGAGAAAATGGGAATAGAGATATTGCCATGCTTACAATTATAACCTGTTCTGGACTGAGGTTTGCATACCGTTTGCTGTACTGAGCTGACAGCAGGAAAAGTGGGATGCTGAAATTACTTGAAGCTGTTGCTTTCTGCTTTTATTTGAAGAAAAGGTTGTGAGATTTA